TCGGCGCGCACCCCGCCGCAGCGCGGCCAGAATGAAACGCGGCCCCTCCGCGGCACCGCCCTTGGCCGCCAGCGCCCGCCCCCGCCGACGGCCATTGGCTGCGAGGCGCTGTGGCTCCGCCCCTTTCCGTCCCCGCCGCCCTGCCGGCCAGTCCCGGCCCCGCCCGGGGCATGGGGGCGGTTGGAGGGCGCCAGGGGGGCGGGGGGCGCTCGGGGGGGGAGGGTGGCGGGGGGGCTCCCTGAGGGGCTCCATGAGGGGACTGAGGCGGCGGCTCCGTGTGGCCGCTGAGGAGCTCCATGAGGGGCTCCGTGAGGGGGTTAGGGAGCTTAGGGGGGATGTTATGAGGGGCTCCGTGAAGGGGCTCCGTGAGGGGCTCCATGAGGGGTTTAGGGAGATAAGGGGGACGTTATGAGGGGCTCCGTGAGGGGCTCCGTGAGGGATTTAGGGAGCTTAGGGGGGATGTTATGAGGGGCTCCATGAAGGGGCTCCGTGAGGCGGCGCCTTGAGGCAGCTGAGGGGCTCCATGAGGCGGAGGGAGGGTCTCCGAGGGCACCTGGGGGGCTCCCACCTTCCTCCTCACAGAGCAGCGAGGGGGGCGCGCGGCGCTGAGGGAGGCGCGGGGCACGTCCTCCTGCCCAGACTGCCTTGGCACGGCCGGCACGGATGCCCTGGGCAGCGGCCGTGGAGAGCGGCCGGCAGGGCACGGCGGCCGCCCCGGGGCCTGCCCCGGCACGCCGGGCTCCCTGCCCGCCGCGGGCTGCCGCGCAGGCTGCAAGCCGCAGCAGGCAGCGCGGGCGCCGCGAGCCTTTCCGCCGCAGCCGTGGCCTCGCGCAGAGCCGGCGAGGCTGAGGCSGTGTTCAGCGCCGCTCTGCCGCCCGCCGCTCAGCTCCTCGCGGTTTCCCTCGGGGGAGTTTCCAGCACAGGCGCCTTAGGGGAGCTCACAGCACGGCTGCGCTCATCCCTTGTGTGGCAATTTATGCAAAAATAAAGATGAAATGGCGAGGTTTTTGAGTGAGAGGCCGTTAATACCCGCAGGAACCAAACTAGGGGCGCGCGGGAGGAGGGCAGCGCGCTGCTCGGCCATTAGAGCCTCCCGCGCCTTAGTCCCGGTTGCACGTTGCACAGCGCTCTTGTCGTGGGGCCGACATGGTGCCCGGCTGCTCCTGGCACCATYCGGGCTCTGCTCCGCACCTCCCCCTTTAACCTCCCTCTACCTTGGTGGCAACACCCAGGAGGTGGGACTGACGTCTCCTCTGCAGCCTCTATCCGGGCCTGCCCTGAAACGCTCCTAACTCTGCCGGTGAGGCTAGGTGACAGTTTTTATTTATACCAGCGCTTAAACGGCGGGAGGGTGGCCTGGATCCTGTCCATGGTGCTTACGAGAGTGGAACTGAAGGGATTAGGTCGCTGAGAGCGTAATAACGGGCTGTACGTGGGGGTTCAGGTGCTGCAGGCACCTGAAGTTGCCTCATTAGGGCAGCTTTAATGCCCTTAACCCGGCAGCAGCAGAGAGCAGCCTCCTTGCTCCGGCGTTGTGTGCATGCAAGATTGTGTGTGTGCATGCAAGATCCATTCCTTGCTCCCTGACAAAAGCGTGTTTTATGTGACACAGCCCCAGGTGTAAGGGAAGAGTTCAGGAAAGCTGCAGTGGGTAATTCATTCTAAACTGCCTTTGGATGCCCCGAGGGGAGCTGACTAGCCACTTGTTGGGCGGCTGCGTGTTACTGGGTTGATGCGTGTTCAGGGCAGGGCAGTCAGCGCATGGAAGCAAAGCTAACACCTCCTCATGGCTTCTACTCAAGTGCGCTGGGYCAGAAGAAAGAGTGCGTGACAGATTCACTTTGTCTTCCAAAATTTTTCCTGTTTTCTCAGCATTTTGAAGGAGGAGGGTGGGAAAAACCTTTTTTTCCCTCGGTGGTAGGGAGGAAACAAGTCCTGGACACAGGGAGAACAGGTTCTCTCCAGGCAAAGTAACCCCACACTGGTGGGAAGCCACCTGTGTGCACAGGAGCTTGGTGGGATGTAGGGAGAGGTGGTTGGAAGAGAGAAAATAAGGCTGGGCCAACCTTATCAGCGTGTCTCCCTACAGCGTTGTCCTCCATCAGATCGGCAATGCCCTAGTCTGAGAGCAGGAGGCTCCGATCCTGGKCTGCGGTGGAAGGGGAGGGAAGGAGCGGGAAGGTCCCAGAGTGGCGCTGATGGTGGCCTCTCCCTCATGCTCTGCAAAGTGCTCTTTCCATCCCCGGTTCCTGAGGACCGCCAGGGCTGTGATATTTTCACGCTGCTTTCTTTCTGCTGATTGTCAATCTCATAAAGACCCTGCACTTTCCTGGGCGTTTACCTGGACCCTGCAGAACCTCTCGTCCTCCTCAGACACACGCTGACGTTTTCCGTCTCCAGAATTGCCCACTCATGAATGGGGCCTGTCTGGAATTGAATGCCCATTTCCCTCAAAGAAGGGGCAGTATCACATAGTGCTTCAAGATTTTGGTGTGTGCCTGTTCTGTGGTGCCGTGTTCATTTTTCCCTTGCTCATTAAAGAAATAAGTTGGGAGGCCTGGATTACTGCCTCAAATCCTCTCCAGGGAAAGCGGGCCAGGAGCAAAAGTTGGTAGTTTGACATAACACATGATTGCAAAGAGGATTATGCTTTGTGAAAAGAAATACATTCCTGCGTTGATAAAGGGGTATTAACTAGATCTGAAACTTGGTGTGGCTGTGAGACAATCCTGCCCTAAAACGGAGCCCAGGAGCGCTCTGACGAGAGGTGCACATGGACCAATGCTCAGTTTGCTGGAGAAGGGGAGACCCAGGCTCTGATTTTGTGGATCTCACCTCTCTGGCAGAGCTCACGGCTGAAATTCTTTGGGGTGCTACTGCTGTGCATGAGCAGGAATCATTTTCAGCCTCTCTGCGGCTGCCCAGAGGGACTCAGTGCTGTAGGATGGCTCCGTAGAAGCTGARGTGTAAATGGGCTCAGAGAGGGGCTGCATCATTAGGGCAGGAGGAGGGATACACCGAAACAAGGCCTGGGTGCAGCCTGCTGCTCAGGCTGATGTAACCGGTGGAAAAGCAGCTCCAGCTGGGAGCAATAGGGCAATTAAGCTGGTTTACTATTTCCTTCATGACAAAATTGTAAAATCGGCACCGCAGAGGCTGTTTATGGAGCTAGAAATGCCATTGCCCTTACTGCTACAGAGTTTCTCACGTCCACATCACGTTGTTTTCAGGCACAGGTTTGTTAAAAGACAAGCTCTTTTAAAAGACAGTGATGTCCTATGATGCAGAGAAGAGGGCACTTATGCCTAGAGGGCAGATCCGGATTTGAGTCCTGTAATGTTTTTGCACATATTCAACCCACTCCCATTCCTTGCTGCCCCCAGTTAGTAAAATGGGCCTTTATTTTGTTTATTTGCTTCGTGTGCTGTCCCAGGGCCCGCGCCGCCGCGTGCCGTGGCTGCTCGCGCKCCTCGAGGCCCTTGCAGCTCCTGCGCCGTGAGGCAGCAGAGCCGGGCGGGCGGCAGGTGCCTCCGCTGGGCACGAGCGCAGGACTTGGGTCTCTGGTCTGCGTCTGGGCTGTTTACCCTGGGCTGCGGACACACGCGCCGCGCTCCGCTCCGGCGCTGACGAGCGCAGCCCGCAGCCGGAGCCCGGCGGCGAGTCCCAGGCYGCTCCTTGTGTCTTTTGGCAGGATCCCGGCCCTCCGCAGCTGCAGCCGAGGCGGAGAGCAGCAGCACTGGGGCAAATCCTTGGCGTGCGCCGGGCTGATACGGCGCCGCTAACAGACGAGATGCCCGGGGCAGCCTTGGCTGGCAGAGATGTAGCGGGAGCTGCTGTTGACCTGGATCCTTTTGTCTCGYGGGGTCAGCGTGGCAGAGCCCTCCCTATCTCAGCGGCT